CCAGAAATTCAGAAATTCAGAAATTCAGAAATTCAGAAATTCAGAAATGCAGAAATTCAGAAATTCAGAAATTCAGAAATTCAGAAATTCAGAAATTCAGAAATTCAGAAATTCAGAAATTCAGAAATTCAGAAGTTCAGAAATTCAGAAATTCAGAAATTCAGAAATTCAGAAATTCAGAAATTCAGAAATTCAGAAATTCAGAAAGGCGGAGAATTCAGAAATTCAGAAATTCAGAAATTCAGAAATTCAGAAATTCAGAGATTCAGAAATTCAGAAATTCAGAAATTCAGAAATTCAGAAATTCAGAAATTCAGAAATTCAGAAATTCTGAAATTCTGAGATTCTGAGATTCTGAGATTCTGAGATTCTGAGATTCTGAGATTCTGAAATTCTGAGATTCTGAGATTCTGAAATTCTGAGATTCTGAGATTCTGAGATTCTGAGATTCTGAGATTCTGAGATTCTGAGATTCTGAAATTCTGAGATTCTGAGATTCTGAGATTCTGAGATTCTGAGATTCTGAAATTCTGAGATTCTGAGATTCTGAGATTCTGAGATTCTGAGATTCTGAGATTCTGAGATTCTGAGATTCTGAGATTCTGAGATTCTGAGATTCTGAGATTCTGAGATTCTGAGATTCTGAGATTCTGAGATTCTGAGATTCTGAGATTCTGAGATTCTGAGATTCTGAGATTCTGAGATTCTGAGATTCTGAGATTCTGAGATTCTGAGATTCTGAGATTCTGAGATTCTGAGATTCTGAGATTCTGAGATTCTGAGATTCTGAGATTCTGAGATTCTGAGATTCTGAGATTCTGAGATTCTGAGATTCTGAGATTCTGAGATTCTGAGATTCTGAGATTCTGAGATTCTGAGATTCTGAGATTCTGAGATTCTGAGATTCTGAGATTCTGAGATTCTGAGATTCTGAGATTCTGAGATTCTGAAATTCTGAAATAATTCGGAAATTCTATGATGGGGCTCCGCCCACATCGTTGAGAAAATTCAAAAAATTTCAGAAAATTTAAAAATCCAAAATTTCAGAAAATTTCAAAAATCCAAAATTTCAGAAATTATACAAAAATTCATACATCCCATTTTGGCCAATTTTCCCATTTTCAATTTTTCCACTGCTATTTTTTTCAAAAGTTTAACTCCAATTTTTTCAGATCACCAGCTCAATGGCAACGTGCCAACGGTCTTTGGGGAAGATAATTTGGTTTTTTTTTTTTGGAAATTTTTTTTTCCAAAAATGTTGAATTGCAACCCTAAAATCCTTGTTTCCTCATTTATTCATTGCTTAAATTTTTTTTGAATTTTCAAAAAAAAAATTCCAACCACTTTTCCAAAAAAAAAACTGTATTATTCGAAGAAGCAGAATGTGTCGTTGTATCTATTTTTTTTCCGCAAATTCAAATTTTAACTTTTCCCGCCAAAATCATTTTTTTCTGAAAAATCGGTTTCCCTGTGCTTCCCCTTTTCCCCCTATTTTATCGATTGATTGATTCGTCTGTTGTGCCAAAAAAATTTTGAACAATTTAAAATTTTTTTTACAAATTCTGCTTTTTTAATTCTCGAATTTTTTCCTTATATTTTGTCGAAAGAAAATTTTTTGTATCCGTTCAAAAAGATAATGAATCTGTTTTCTGTTAATTTTTTTTTCATTTTTTGAAAATTCAGAATTTTCAAGATTTCGAATTTCTGAATTTCTGAAAATTTTGAATTTTTGTGATTCAGAACTTTAGAATTTTAGAATTCCCGATTTTCAGATCTTCAGAATCTCATAATTTCAAAACATCTCAGGTAAACGATTCTGAATTAGATCTGACTTGATTCTTATTCTAAATTCCGAAATTCCGAAATTCCGAAATTCCGAAATTCAGAAATTCAGAAATTCAGAAATTCAGAAATTCAGAAATTCAGAAATTCAGAAATTCAGAAATTTAGAAATTCAGAAATTCAGAAATCCAGAAATTCAGAAATTCCGAAATCCAGAAATTCAGAAATTCCGAAATTCCGAAATTCCGAAATTCAGAAATTCAGAAATTCCGAAATTCCGAAATTCCGAAATTCGGAAATTCGGAAATTCAGAAATTCAAAAATTCGGAAATTCAGATAATCCAGAAAGCTCTGAAATTCAGAAATT